AGATACTGTACTTTGACGACTACATGTCGCATGTATGGACTATCGGACTTCATACAAGGGCCGCTGCACTTCAAGTTACACGGCAATGGCTCGCATATGTCGAGAACCAGTTCAATGCCAAAGTGCAGAAATGGAAATCTGATTCTGCAGGCGAGTTGAAATCGACCGCCTTCACAGATATGCTCAAGGATCGTGGGATTGAGAGGATACCCTCTGCTCCCAACATCCATGAACAGAATGGACGTGCTGAACGAATCATTCGCACGATCATGGAAAAGGGGGAGGCAATGCGTCACGACGCTTGCATACCACAATCATGGTGGGAATTCTCATTTGAGCATGCAGCGCATGTCTATAACAGAACTCCGATGCGACGACTCAACTGGCGCACTCCATATGAAGTTCTGCATGGTTCTAAACCAGACATTAGCCATCTACGCGTCTTCGGATGCGGTGCCTATGTCTTCTCACCACGCGAGGTTCGCAAGAACAAGCTATCGCCCAAATCAGAGCTGATGGTTTATCTCGGCGTTGGTGATGGTAATCACAACCATAAGTTCATGCGTTTGCCCAATAATGTCATCCTTACGGCCGCTCAAGCGCTGTTTGATGAACATATGTTTCCCAAGTGTCCTGGACATGGAACAAAACGACAAAGGCAGCCTTCTGCGCCTGAAGAGGAAAAGAATGGAAAACCTGCGAACCAGGCTCCCACTTCTTCTTTTCTCCCTGATGACGATGAGGAACCACATCGTCCGCTCCCAAAACCTTCTACAAAGGGCAAGGGCAAAGGTCGAGACGTCGTACCTAATGCACCGCTGGCAAATCCTCCTGTACCGCAGCCATTGCGTGGACAACAGCCTGTGCCTGTGCAACACCCAGTGTCGCCGCCACCTCCACCGGTCAGATCTCGTGCGCCTTCACCGCGCCGATCTGGGAGAGAGCGGAAAGTACCAACTCGCGAGGGCAATGTCTATGGTGAATCACGGCACCCTACAGACATTTTTAAGGAGATAGAAAAACAAACATCGTGGAGGAACTTGGTGGAACAGCGCGGAGAATCAAGTCGCTCTCGACCTGCGTCAGTTCCAAGTCCTCGGAATGAGTCACAGGTTCCCGGACCTAGCTCTTCCAAATCTAATCCACGATCACAACCACGTTCGCGCGATGAAGTTGTTTTACCTCCACCCTCGAAATGGACCACGACTAGGGAACAAACCCCTATTATCTCATCTGGTAGCAGCGACGCCGAGGCTGAGAAATCCCCTCAACCTGCAGAGGGATCTCCAGAACCTCGCTCAGGCGCTCCCAATGATGATGGTTTAGCGCAACCTCCAGATGAAGAATCTGATGAGGATAACGACGATGAATCTGA